TTAATAACTACGCACTCTAGAACTTTTTCCTTACCTTATATAAGATCCCGCGATAAGAATGGGACTTAAAAAGGCTATAAAGGTAATGAGTATAACGTTCTTTATCAGTAGTTTTATGGGTCATAGACCCCAGGCTTTGCCTGTCAAAATTCATATGTTGTAGGAACTTGTAATCTCCGCCGTCTCCCGAGATCGTCAGATCTAAACCTTTCTAAGGGGTTTAATTTCACTAGAAAAAAATGGCAATACGGATTCAGTATTTGGAGGGATCTGGCATTGTGCTAGGATAACGTAATTACTAATCATAGCGGGTTTTTAGATCTAGCGAATGAACGGTATAAATAAGCAGGTTTTAGATCGTGGGGAGGCAAGTAATAAGTTGCTAATATATTTTTTTTATCGAAAAAGGCGTATATATCCGCAATTTATTACCAGGGTAATGTGTATTGTTTATATTGGTCGTGTCGTCTATAACAAAGATGTGGAAGCGAAACTTTATGAATTTTTATGTTTAGGAAACGAAAAAATGGCCCCGATAATTTTAAACCTAAGTTTAAAGTCACTCTTGGTCCGATAGGTACATGCACAATAAATATTCAGTGGAGATACGTTCGAAATGGTTAAAAGTTAAATTGAGAATCAGTTAAATATCCCCGTCAATCGTGTTGCTACTATTCAGTATTTACAGCCAGGAGAGAGGTTTACCGAAAAATTTACTCCCGAAGAATTTAAAAGGGCAATCTTTATTATAAATCCGTAGTGATGGGCAAGCGCGATATATTTTTTCTCACCATTTTTTTTATTTCGTAAAAAATAAAGATTCCAGGCACGAAGTGCCGTTGTTTTGAAATATAACTGATAAGTTTGATGGTCGTATATGATAATTTATTGTATATTAGTAATAACGTAAAAAATTCTCAATCAATATATCAAATAGCACCTAAGTAACACAGCGTAATAAAATAAAAGCATGTTTTATCAGAAAATAATCATGGCATAATTATACCACAACTTAGGTACCGTATTTCTGATAGGTTTCTTGTTATAACCTTTTGTTTTTTCTTCAACTTCCTATTATGTGGAATGACTTTTTGGCAAACTGGCGCCATCACTCCAATAAAGTTCTCGTAATCATAGCATTTTTCTCGTATATTTTGCAGAATAAAAATCTGGGTATTAGTAATTTTGTTGAATAAAAGCTAGTTAAACAACCAATAAATGGTTAACCCTCACTCATAAGCCGGCCATTTATGACTCGCCATTACTGGCTTCCGACAGAATAAGTCTGCCGCGGACGCTTTGGGTGCGGTGAACCCATAACAATTTTGTGCAATAAAATCTAGCCGGCCATTTATAATGACTCGCCACCACTGGCTTCCGACAGAATGAGTCTGCCGCGGACACTTCTTTTATGCTTAACAAAATTGCCGATAAATTCATAACAAGAAAAATTTACTCGACTTACTTTGATCGAAACAAGAGTAGGATTTTTTTTTTTTCCATTATCAGTTATATAATGTTTTGATTTTTTACGTTACACCTGATCTTGATATTTGATTGGCCAAGATCTCGTGGGGAAATTTGAAAAAATACGCGTCTTTGTCGTGAAAGTTCTGAAAAATTTTTCACATAATGAAAAAAGTGCCCTCAACCAAAGCAGCAGCCGTTAAAGAGCAGAATGTAAGATGGATGCTTAATTCTCCCGATCCGAGCCCACTTGCTTTTTTTAGATTTTCTTTTCCTATGCATCGAGCTCGGGCTTTTGATACTTACGGTAAAGTCCTAGAATCTGCCTTAGATCAATGCCAGGATGAGAATGTTAAAGGAAGACTATTAAGAACGAAAGGAAAATTTAATGTATGTAGTGAATATGTTTTTTCTAGTATACTGACTCAATGGATTTTTAAATCTATTACTTCGGCTTAATAGGCAGAAATTCTAAGAGACTGGGAGTTGTGGTTAGAAGAGAGGAAGGCGGTATGTATGATCAGACTCCTTTCGCTTTAATCTATAGACTAATGTTCATGTTCACGTTGTCCAGATTCAAGTAAACCATTCGATCCAAAACACAAATATAGCTGTGCAAAATAGGTTTAATGCCCGCGTAGAAAACCAGGTTAATCATATTTTTTAAAAATTTGAACTTACGCATTCATACGCAGATGAGTTTTTTAAAAAATCTTTACTATAGGGCACATTGTCAACAACGCCAACAATTATCAATGATTCTGCAATCGATATAGGCAACAGTGATGAAAACGATGTAGAAAATTTGGAAGACAAAAGAGAGTTATTAATGAGTTCGATAGTGAATTCTCCTATAACAACTGATGCCAACGAGGACGTTCTGGAATCGCTTGCATTTTTATTTGAGTCTTCCCAAGAAGATCTTATTTCATCTATTGCAGAAGAAAGCCTTGACAGAGAGGAGACAGTGATACCAAATGTTCCAAACCAATTTCTAAAGGCAAGTAATTTAGAAATATGTTGTGGGTTGTTTGAGAGAATTAAGATTGTTTATTCTTTGTAATAGGATAATAAGCTTGTGTTATCAAGTCAATTAGATGTGTTTGCGCACTTTCGTAACATACGCTTTAAGATCCCATCGAAAAACAAGATCTTGAATCCAGCCTATTATGGAATCATCGATTTAACCGGTCAGCATATTGAGACCAAGACATCGTTTGATATTGAAGACTGGGAAGAGCTTCGGAATTTATTTGGCATAATTGTCCAATGGCAATCTATTCGGACGCCTGAACATTTCGCTAAATATTTTGATGAAAATTTTACGTTGCCTCCTAATCCGGAGGATGAGTTAAAAATCTTCCACACGGCGGTTGAATTCCTGTAAGTCGGTTTTTTCGTTCTGGAATATCAATTCGATATTCAATGACATTTTATACCTTCATCGTAGGCGGACAGGCTACCCTATCCAAAACACAATGTCTGAGCAACACGCGGTGCATGCATTATATTACCCCTTAATTAATACAGTTCTCTATAATGATACCATATCACTATTGGATTGGTAAGCACAACTTTGTATTTGGGTGATTTGTAGCAGTTTCTCGAGAACTAAATAATTTAGCTATGTTTCTTGAAAATTAAATAAATTCGTTATGTTTTAGGGGAGAAGTTGTTTCGTGCTCAAACTCTGATGCAAAAAATGACAATGTTAGTCCCGAGAAGAAAGCAAAGACTGGTTACAAGGTTGACCTCAAAATAACTTTGAAAATTCCAAATTATAAGTTGCAGGTTGTACATGGTGAAGTGTCAGGGGGATCAAGAATGGAAAGGCGGAAGCTTGCAAGCGCAAACAATGGCTTGATAAACTCAAACTCATGATTATGTTGTTGCGAGATGAACTAAATCAAATAATTAAGGCCTACGGCCGATCAAGTGCCGAGTTCTTATATTTTATTGTATATGGAATTCAAGTGATTGGTTTGTAATATAACAGTTTTATTGGAATATTAGTATAATCATGCTTGTAAATTAATTTTGATATGATCTCTCAGGTTTTCATTTAAATGTTTATGCAATGATATGGTGCAGTGGGGGGGGTCTACCTTTTTGGTTTAATTGACAAATGCTTAATACCAAGCAATTTAGAAACATTTTATTCGTTAGAGGAAGTATACGTGATTCTCAAGATCCTGCAAATGAAAGTTACCGAAGCTTCAAGTGCATTAGTTGCCATTGAGCAGAAACATGCAAAAAAAAGACGGTGGCCTGCTGTTAATGACCAGCAAGACTTTGAGAATGATCTTGTATTCACTCAAGCAACAAAACATCAGAGGAATTCATAATGAGACATGCATATTAATTGCCTTAATCTGTTTTAGCCAATCGTTAATAATAATAAGACCATTAAAAAATGGGGTTCACAGTATCGTGTGACTTGTGACGCATCAATAATCGGAATATAAAAATTCGGATAACCATTGAATTACTGTTATTTTTTATAGCCAACATGTTTAATGTCATCCTTGCTCAATTTAGAAATCGCTGGCAAAGAAAAAGTTAATTCAGTCTGATTCTGTTTGTAGGATGATAGTTTTACTGGACTCTTGGAAGATAATTCAATGCATCTTAACCCGCTTCACTTATTAGGTGTTTTATCTGCCAAGGCAGGTATGTTAACACGTTTTAGATAAGCTAGGTCAGATAGATCTTTTTCTCAAGACACTCTTTATCTTTTATTATTTACAATTTCTATTGAATCATCTGGTGGGTTTCTTGAAGAATCAAATCCAAGATTACTGCCAAAAAGATTTACTAGATCTGAGGTTTCACTTGATTAGATTCTATTCATAACAGATAATGGTAATCACGGGCTTAACAGATTTATTGCAATCTAAATAGACATACATTTTGCTATCTGAAGTGATTGAACTAGGTAATTTGCATTAAGCATAAGCCTTGTATGCTCATGACTTCTGCATGCAGAACTTTCATTTATTCTACGTATAGTATATTTATTGAATAAATGTTACGCAAGCGACATATATCCGATATACAGTAAAAAACTATGCATTGTACTTAATACTGGAATAGCGATACATAATTCGTTAATAGCTAAGCAAAAAATGAAAATGGCACTTTGTGCTTGTGCCCCGTCTCACAAATAAGTTATGCATAACAATAAGCCTCAGATAAATTTTATATGAAATAAATTCTAACACATGTCACTAGGCCCGATGTGGGCAGGTTTATTTATTCAATGATCAAGTAATGTTTATTTTTTCTAGTTGACACATGTCACCAGGTTATCGTTAACACACGTGGGACATGGGTAAAACTTTTATTAAATGTTTTAATAATATATTTTTGAAAATATCGTACAACTGCAAAAAAAAAACACTATTTTTCTAATTGCCGAGGCGGGACACCATGTCACCAGGGCGCAGTAGAATGTGGCGCAGTATTACACACTTTCTGACCCTTTTAAAACTTTAGCAATTACATAATCAATCGGTATCATCTACAGTAAGATTCAGGATGAAACCCGGAGGGATAGATTTTATCTGTGTTATTTTTTCTTTGCCTATACTATTGAAAATTTTAAACATCTTTCGGGCTCTTTCTATTCTTTTTTTTAAAGCATCATCAGAGAATTTCGCCTCAGGAATTTCCTTTCTAACCTCACTTTTGACCAAAGCTCTAGCTCCATCTTTACCATAAGTGGGTTTTAGCTCCTTATATCAATTATATAAAGCCTCCCCAAAATAAAAGTAGCTGGTGATAAGGTCACGAGATGTATCTTTGTTTTTAGATTTGGCACTATCAATCCTATTAGAAAGTTTCAAAAAAATACCCCTGGTATCAGTTGTGTAACTTCTTTCCTCTGAGCTTCTATCAACAATGGGAATATCAGTTAATAATTCTTCTATAAGTTGTTTTAGTATACTCGAGACCTTTCCACCAACTTTTTTTGCTTTCTTGTTAGAGGATTTTTCTGAAGAGCTACTAGAACATTTTTTCTGGGCAGTACTTGACTCTTGGGTAACAGTTACTATAGCACCGTCATCAATTTCCATATCAGTTGGTGGACATATAGAACACAGTTTTTGTAGATTATCGATACAATTGTAATGGATGATATGTTTGCAGGTTAAGTATATGAGTGGTTTCGAGGAACCTTGAAGTTGAAAAGAAAACCGAAGAAAGCCTATAGGTGGGAGACATGAAGAAAGATCTTCAGAATATTTGGCACACCTCAAATTACTTTTGACTTGTTGGGTTGCCGTATCTTCGATCCCTTTCATCCGTATAGGTGGTGAAGATAGGACAAATGTTTCGCCCATCAAAGGTGAAATTCCAGTTGATTGGGAGGCCTCCTTGGGATCAGTAAACGGCAAATTGGAAACAGTACCAAGGGGATTGGCTTGATCTAATATTTCCACATTCTTTCCACAACCCGGGAATGGACATGTGTTTGGAACAGTAATTAAAAGCTTTTTTTCAATACAGAGTCTATGAAAAAGGTGTCCGCATGCTAGGTATGTGAATGCTTTGAGAGAAGATATTAAAATATCATTGTCACATTCAGAGCATGGCCCTAGTTCTGTAATTTTTTTACCCTTAATAATGCCATCCTTAAAGGTTTTTAGAATATTATATGTGAGATTTTTGATGTTATTAATAGAAGCAGTTGATGTGGAAGTAGAGGTAGACATATTCAAGAGTAAAATTTATGTGATTAGGTTTGTATGCATTAATATAAAGTATAACCAGATAAGTATTTTACAATTTTTTTATACTTAGCTTATTTTTATACATTAAACACCCTCATGATTAAAAAAAATTAGTTTGCAGATTTTATGAAATCTCATTTTGGATTTGGCGATCTGTTTATTCACGAATTAATTAGTATGAGCCAGGATCGCTAGATCTTCGATAGCAATTGTGAAGGAAGGAGTATACACTTCATAGATTTTTATTTTATATCAACACTTTTATACCTGTGTTAAAAAATCTTCTGAGTTACCTCAAATTTTCAAGTTTATTAGCATTTTGATAATACCGATCTTGGGCACGTTTCATTAATGTGCCACCTGGATGATAAAGCCATTTCCTCACTGCGCGCTGGATTATTTTAGCTGAATTTATTCGTTTTTTCCATAAACGATATGCTCACCGGATGATAATAGCCGGTCGAGTTATTATATACAAAGTTTTAAAATCTGCTACTTGGGTTTTAAATTCTCTAAATTCAGAGTTATTGGCTATATATTCTCTTCTAGTTAAATTATTTTTAATACAGAATACAAAGTTTCTCCAATAATTCTTACCTTTTATTTCATGTCGTGGTATAAATAAACGTCTACGTATATATTCGGGCGGATAATACTTTGCAAATCGTAGCCAAGCTTCTGGTGTTTTTAAATTACTAATATAGTTTAAGCCATATTCAGATAACATGTATCGGGTATAACTATTTTTTTCCTATTCCTCAAAAATATCTTGAATATTAGGCATGTTTAACACGTGGATTTTATTAACTAAGACTTTGTATGTTTCTAATATAACATTAAAAAAACTTCTATAATTAGTTATAGCATTCTTTAATAATTTTTTTATCCAAAAAATATTTGTTATAAAGCATCTATTCCTTGAAATGAAGTCTAGCTTTCATAGCTTTTTCTTCTGCTTCCTCGGGAGCTATTTCAGATGCTACCAGGTGTTTATATATTCCAATTCGCCAATATCCATAGGGAAGGGTTCGAATTCTATCAAGTAAAATCCAGCGTTTGTTATTATATGGGTTTAACTTACTCTCTCCAGATATATTTGATGATCATAACTACGGAGACCATACATATCATACCGAGTTAACTTCTTACTCCTGAGACATTCTAGAAATTTGTCATGTCGAAGTTCCCTTTTGACTACACATTTCTTAACTCCTTTTGCCTTCTGGATACCATGTTTTTTTTTAGGTTCTTCTGAATCTGGGTCGTTGGATCATGCCCGGCTGGAAGGACTGAGTACATCTTTGGCTTTAAACACACTGTTCTCCTATGGGTATGCCCTTTGTCTTGTCTTTCATTAGAAATAAGTCTTCTAAATAGTTAAGATCGAAAATGTCTGGTCTTTCTGCTCGATCTTTATAGATATCCTCAGTTTCTATCTACATGATGAGCGAGTCTGTATCTGTATAAAGTAGACGTGCCTTATCTCTATAGCGAGGCTTTATATATCCATACCAAAAGTTATACAACATGGCCTTGCTAATGTCAAGAATTGCCTGCCCCACATAAATTGGTTTATTTAGAGTTACTGTGCCTTTTAACATATGGACTGCTGTAATTCCTTCTTCAAATTGCTTGAAACCTACAAATAATAGTGAACTTGCCAGACATCTGATTTTTTTATTCTCTTCTGTTCGGAGTAGTTCTACTCTTATATGTTTACGGACATTCTCCATCTGTTTGCCGAAAACTGCATTATTTTTTAGCTTATAATACATGACCTCGAATTCATCACCATTGGCTTTTGCTATTTTGCGTTTATAAATATTTTCCTCAATATATTCTTTCATCCATAGAGATTGTTGGAATTTTAACCCACTATGAATCTTTGTAACTTTTATCCCAAATTTCATATATAACTGGAGTGCACGATAATGAACTACATAATTCTTTTTTAGAATAAAGGGTTTGGACTAGTTTTTCACCTGTTACATATTTTCTTCCTCCTACTTCTTTGTCATATACTAATCTTTTGTTATATGAGCTAAGCCAGTTTTCAGGTATTGTTTGCTTTTCCGGTACTAATGGATAATCTGCAAAGAAATCGTGTAAGTGTACTGAAGCTTCTAAGTCAACTTCAATCGTATAACCAATTTCAGCATCAGGCGCAATACTTTGGATATCTGGTATTTCCTCTGGATATACCTTACCTATGATCTCAGTAGGCATGTATTGGGTCATTGCACCTGAATACATGGCATTCATATCTTCATACAAGACCCAGGATTTCAGTTTACTAGGATCATAGTCTGGACATTGTGGATTATTAGCTTTAGCATATCGATGACTCGCCATTGTCATCCCTCCACGAATACCATTCTCAACCATCAAGTACTCGTCCATATTTGTCATGAGTTTGAGTTCGGCTCTACTGCTCTTGTATAGGGAATTATTAAACATTCCTGGCGCTGAGACGTAATGAGATGGGTCTAAGCCATCATCTTGCAAACACATAATAGTATAATTTATGAACACATCGGCGAGTAATAATACATCAGTCTCAAGGTAAAGATCATGGTATTCTCTGAAACTTTTCATCTCAAATGTTTGCCATACTTTTTGAGCGTATTCATAATCCTCCTTACTGATATTTTGCTAACTGAGAAGCAAATAGAAATCCTTTCTAGGTAGAAGGCTCGTTCTGTCGAATTTGTCCCATGAGTTTGTCCAGTCATATGGGAATACTCCTTTTCGAAAAAGAAGTTTAATCTTGTTTATTGAATAGCCTTTTTTGGTAAAATACTCAATAGTTAAGAAGAATTTTTCAAGCTTTTCACCTAAACTTTCAACAAGTTTATCCAAACCCATCAACATATGTTGAAAACTATCTAGAAACCGGAACTGTCCAACATCCATTGCTTTATATTTACCTATATTTTTTGGAATACACTTTAACTTATCCGCTGTAAATCTACTAACGACTTCTATGAGTAGATGCGAATCGTATCCTCGAAAATTATGGCAAATAAGTGAAATTTTGGTTTTAAATTGTCCCATTTGTAATTTTTTGTTGCATTTACTATGAGCTGGTCCTCTATATTTACCACTAATATAACAATGATCTCGAACTTTCATTGAATCTTCGTTTATCATCTGTCCATCACAATACATGCATTTGTAAGTTTCTTTATACTTTCCATTATCTGCTATACTTGGTTGTTCATACCATTTTGGACCTATTATCTCATTTTTTTATTTACATCCTCGATGAGATGCTCCTTTATAATCTCCAGTATTTGGACAACATACCTTTGTTTTAATTATACTTTGATTCAGAAATCCTTTTTCGCATATATAACACTCTCTTGCTATTTTATGCCTTATATAGTTACCCGGTTCCATAATTATTTCTGCAAGTGCTGATAAATCTAAATTAATCTCTGCCTGTTCCTCTTCTAATTTATCAACAAATTTTTCTAATGCATCTGGTCCTCTATACAAATCATAACTTGTAATTTCATAATTACCGAAACTATCCATATGAATCACTACATAACTGTATCTACAAGGTTTATGCTTTTGAATTTTTTCAGTTTGAGTTAATTGTGTATTTTCTTCTGGTGTTAGGTTTTCTGTTAGGCATTCAAGATCCCAAATTATGTGATATAGATTTGGTTGCATGCATTTGTAATTGCAAAATCCCTTGATACTTTTTTCCATTGCAGGAACTTTTGGTAATTGAGATGCATTATTTAGACCCTTGCATTTTGGCAAATGTTTACTATATCCTTTTTCTGAAGAATATACATGAAGACAATAATGACAAATATATTTTCGTCCTTTATGTTTGCTATGATTGTATACTAGCTTATGTAAATCTTTGATTATGCAGTAATGACTTCCTTCTTCTTCCGTAATTACTAGAAGATTTACTTGCTTATATTTTCCTCTCCTTCTCTCTGAAACATAGTGAAACTCAAAACATTCATTCTGGTTGTGCCATTCATAAATACAAAGGCTAATCTCTGGGTTATTTACTTCAAACTTCTTATAAATTGGTGTCGAGACTAGTACTGGAATTGGGATGTCACCTATATTAAGTTCCTCCATAAAACCTAGCATTGTGGATTTCTTTCTGGATGAACTTTAACCAGATGTAAAGTTCCTAGAACACTCCACCCAAAACACCAGTTATCATTATTTTAAATATTTATAATTCTGTTATTACAGTTTGGCAAAGTTTTAGGCAAAGGTATATAGGCAGTAGGTTTAATTGGATTGAAATCAGCTATTTCTATACTAAATTCTTCTATATATTCTGGATAAGCATCAGACATTTGGTATATTAGTTATCTCTAACCATCACACTATTACTTACTTATAAATTTTTTTCTTTAATTAATTATTTTATATGCACTTATCAATTTTCGATCATATAAACCCTAGTGAAAACCGATGATAAGTATTTACAAGCTTTCTAAAGCAATTCTAGCTATTGCAAAACTGAATTATTAACTAATTATTAATTAATCTTTTCGAATCTAGTAATAAAAAAGTAGGATGATCGGCGAATATTCTTGCCTATTTTTCTGCAATACCGGAAAGGCTTGTGGGAATGCTAGTACTAGGCCTGAAGGATATCGGTTTCATTGGAAAGCTAAAAAACGAGTACCATGTTCTGATTGCGGAAAGCCTACAGCCTCTGCTTGTGGACGATGCCCAGCACATATCAGAGGGTACTACATTACCCAGTACCATAATAGATTGTGGGCTGAAGCTTTAATCCTAGAATATACTAAAGGTATAGCAGGTGATGTAACGTGTATATTGCTTATATTTTTTTACTAGATTTATTAGATCATTTTTATGAGCTAGAGATTGCCAGAATTGTTTTTGTAATATATAATTTTTTCGTTAAACTTTTATATACGATTTACCAAGCTAGCCCATGTAGAGCCCGTTCTTAACTTATTTTTCTGGCAGGGCAGAAGGAAAAGTTGGGACACAATTCTCGTTAGACTTTTCTAATAATTATACTATTTAATAAGCTAGAGCTTGTAGAAGCTATTCTTGTCTATAAGTAATTTTGTTAGATTAAACAAGTCACATGATACTTGATATGCTAATTAACATTTAAATCTCTCTAGAAGCAATTCTTGAATAGTTAGAGATATTCATAAATAAATCTAATGAATCTGAAATCATTAATAAATATAATTAAAAAATCAATATAGTTTTAAAGCTTACAAAAGCCCTAGAATGTATTCCTGCTATATTTATAAATTGTTAGACTTATTTATGAGGTAATAAGGACAGTTAGACTTAAATAAATCTAACTAAAAATCAATATAGTTTCTGGCCTTTGGAAGCCTCTGAAATATATTTCTAGCATTTAAATAAATTTAACCAAAAATCAATATAATTCTTAGCCTTTTGAAGCTCTCAGAATATATTCCTAATATATTTATAAATCATTAGACTTAGTAAATCTAACCAAAAATCAATATAGTTTCTGGCCTTTAGAAGACACCAGAATACATTCCTAATATGTTTTAAATCTAACTAAAATTTGATATAATTCTTAGCATTTAAAACCCTCCAAAATGCATTCCTGATATATAATAAGTCTAACTGTTCTATCATTAGGCTTAATAAATCTAACCAAAAATCAATATAGTTCCTGACCTTTAGAATACAACAGAATGCATTCCTAATATGTTTTAAATCTAACTAAAATTCGATATAATTCTTAGCATTAAAAACCCTTCAAAATGCATTTCCGATATATAATAAGTTTAACTGTTCTAAAACCCCCAGAATGCCATTGTGTTAGACAAAAAAAAAGAAGTATAGTAATCAGAATATAAACTTTTAGAATGTGTTAACCAAAAATGGTATAACAGTATGTCTGATGAAATTAAGGAAAAAGAATGGAGAGAAATACTTCAGAAAACCTCAAACAACTTAGTACCAAGAAGTTAAGATAAAACTAGTAGGAGAATGTCAACCTGGGTAGTCCCTATTTAGATATTAACTAAGTAGATTGCAGCACGAGAGTATGGTTAGTAGACTTAGAATAGAGTAATGCAGAATTGGAATGCCAGAGGGCTTAAATAGATAACTTCCTAGTTGGGTTATAGGTATGGCAGCTAGTGTAGAATCTTTGGCAGACTACTTAAATAGGCACTCAAAAGATGCACATGTGGCTAGTTGTGTTTCACATGCTAAAAATGCCGTATACTTATTTCTGCAAGTGATACAAATCTAAAAAAAGAAAAATTTCTATGTAGATTGCAAGATCAGGTGTATTCTTTGTATAATGTGAAATTGAAAGCTTTTTTAAAAAAACACCAGTAATGCAAAATTTTGCTTAAGAAATTGCCTTTTATATACTAATTAAAAAATTCCTAGCTAAATTTTACTATATAGCTTGTCTTAACACAGCTCTAACTTCAACCCTAATGCTAGTCTAATTTCACATGTTATTAGTGAAAATAACAATAAATAAATAGCTATTATTGTTACATAATTTGTATCACTTGCAGAAATAAGTAAATCCTTAAAAATTAGGCCTTCGCAAAAATTACCCATGCGATTTCAGAATTTTTAGAGGCTATAAAAACAATATTTCACAATTGGTGTTTGAACCGAAATTGTATATAGAGTTAGTATAATAAACCCACTTCTGGAAAACATGCTTTATTTATACCTCATATGTGTATACTGCTAGTAGCAGGCCTTTAAAGTCAGACAGGTACAGGCTCAGGCCCGGCCATCAGGCCTGTACCCATCTGACTTTAAAGGCCTGCTGCTAGCAGCAAGCATATATGAGATATTAATGAAGCATGTTTTCCAGAAGTGGGTTTATTATACTAACTCCACATACGATTTTGGTTTAAGCACCAATTGTGAAATATTGTTTTTATAGCCTCTAAAAATTCTAAAATCGCACGGGTAATTTTTGCGAAGGCCTACTAAAAATGTACTACTATATATGGTATATGTAACAGTTACTTTAGTAACAAAATTTATACCTAATAAAAGTCATCTATAGCGGTATTTAACAAAATAAAAAAAAAAAAAAACTTAGTACTAAGGCTATTAAGCATTAGATATATAATACTAAAAAAACTAGAAAAAAGAGCAACAAAGATTTTTTTAGAACTTTTAAACTTAATTTTAGAGGAGGAAATAATGCCAAGAAAATAAAAAATAAGTATGATCTTCTTAATACTAAAACTAGCAGAATAGAACTTACAAATAAAAAACATTAGATCTATAATGCTTTTTGAAACAACAAAAAAAGAGCTAATTAGAATTATCCAGAGAAGATTAAGTAATTGCATTATTGCTTACAAGATTCTGAGAGAACCCAACTTTGCAGATTTACTAGGAAAATGTATTCAAGAACCAATTCATATAATGAATTCTTTAATCAAGTAGCAAAACAAGAGAATAAAGAAATATAGATAATGCTTATTGATACTGTATTAAAAAAGTATTTGATATAGTCA